TTTTAATAATTGTAATAAAAATTATACCCAAAAACATCTTTTAATTCAACACAAAAATAGCATTCATTCAAATGTGAGATTTATTTGTGATTTCAATGAATGCAACAAAAGTTTTACAACAAAAAATTATTTATATTATCACAAAATTAAGAGTCATTCGATTGTTGACAAAAATCAAATTTATTTTCACTGTTTTTGGCCTAAATGTCAATTCAAGACAACAACTAAACAACATTTAACTGAACATCAATTAATTCATTCAGAAATAAAACAATTTAAATGTGATTTTAATAATTGTAATAAAGGTTTTAGACAAAAACAACATTTAACTCAACATAAAAATAGCATTCATTTAAATGTGAGATTTATTTGTTATTTCAATGAATGCCACAAAAGTTTTTCACGAAAAACCGATTTATTTCTCCACAAAAGTTGTGTTCATTTGAATGAAAATAGATTCAAATGTAATGAAAAAAATTGTGGCAAAATTTTAACATCGAATCTGAGTTTAATTGTTCACAAACGTATCCATTCGGGGGAAAAACCATTTGTTTGTCATTTCAATGATTGTAATAAAAGTTTTTCGCAGAAATCTAACCTTAATAAACACATCAAAAGACATGAATATAAAAACCCATAAATGTATTCATAATAACTGTAATCAACGGTTTGTTACGACTTCTGCGTTTAAAACACATTTAAATCGCAAACATATCAGAGGAAAACATATCAAAAGTAAACCAATTATCAAAAGTTGTAAAGAAATATTACAATAAAAATATTTATAAACAATAAAATGGTAAAAATAATATTTACCGGTATATTGTGCACCATATATAAATTATAGAAATGTGCTTTAATTACTTAAAAACAAATTAACATTGTACTTTTAAATTAAATAAAATTTTATTGAATTAAAAAACATTTAAAACAATTTTTAGGACTATCTAAACATTAAAAAACACATAAAAATCAATGCTTTTTATCCCTTTTATGATCGGCCAAAGCGTTGAATGTGGCGAACCCTTTGCCGCACTCCTCGCACGTCATCGACTTCGGCGGTAACAGCGAGTGGAAACACTTCTGGTGTCGCATCAACTTCTTCGCTCTGACAAACTGTTTGTCGCACAGATGGCAGGCGTGCGAGTGTCGGGTGCGCTCGTGTTTGGCCAGTGTTTCAGCCTTTAGGTACCGTTTCCGACACTTAGTACACGCAAACGGCTTCGGTTTGGCGCCCAGTTTCAGCCGCCGCGGCTGGCAGTGGACGCTTGCCATGTGTTTGGCGAACCATACGGCTGACGTGTATCGCATCGGACACTGTTTGCACCGAAACCGTATCGGTCGACGTTTGTGCGGCCCTTTTTTGGCCGGTTTGCGGCCAACTCTTGTATGTTTTCGGACCTGTTTTGTCGCTTTGCGCAACCAATTCGGTGCTTTGCTTCTCGGGTGATGAGTGGCCATATGGTGTATGCGCTGAAACCCGTTGACAAACAGTACACAACACTTTGGGCATCTGTTACACGTGAGCTTATGCTCCGCCCATTGGTCGACCGTATCAAACGATTGCGTGCATCGACCGCACGGATGCGCACCACTCACTTCCGGTTTCACTGTTTCGCTCTCTATCTTGATATCGGAACTGATGGCCACTTTAGTGTCTGCTAATGGCTGGCACTGGCCGTCAGCCGCATGTCTGGTCAATGATTGGCCGCAATTGTCGCGCCGATACTCAGCCACTATTTCAAGTCCACTGTTTTCATCACTACTCGTATCGGAAATCCTAATTGTGGTTAAAAATTATGATACAATTAATGTGTTGTTTATTAGTTTGTAATTCATAACAATTACTCAATATATTTCTGGTCTATTGTGTGTCCAGTGGTCGCCGGCACTGGCTTTGTATCGACGGTGTATTTTAGCTCAGGTTTGACAATCAGTTTGAGTTCAGGTTTAAAGTCAGGTTTCAGATCACTATAGATATAGAGAGTAAACACACAATCAATAAATGGCTTAAATCAGTGGCTATAATATACCTGTTGTTTGGATCAGTGGTGGCAGTGATTGACTGCACGGGTGGGACAGTCGTGGTCTTTACCGGTCTATCACCAGGAACTGTAGTGTCCATAGGAATGGTCGCCTGTAGTGTCTCTGCGGCCGCCGAGTGGACTGTCAATGGCTTTACATCAGCCGTGCTTTTGGGCTCCGGTATTGCGTTTATTGCTTTGAGATCAGGTTTCAGATCACTATAGATATAGAGAGTAAACACACAATCAATTAATTGCATAAATCAATGGCTATAATATACCTGTTGTTTGGATCAGTGATTGAGTGCACCGATAGGACAGTCGTGGGCACTACAGGTCTATCATCAGCATTAGTGTCCGTAACAACTAATGAGTTGTGATTCAAACAGTACTTAAGGCACGGCTTGTTGTCCACGAGTGAAGTGTTGGGCATTTGTTGATCACTGAGTGTTTGGCCGGTGTTTACCGCCGGTATTGAGTCCACGATTTCGATATCAGTGTCTGAATCGCTAAATATTGTGTGAAAAACATATAAACAATTAAAACCATTATTTAAAGCAGTTTTAAAACACAACACATACTCATCGCACGTGTTGTCCAGCGATTGACTGTCGGGACAGGAAGTGGTGGCGATTGTCGGCACTGAAGGCGTGTTGTTTTCAAACCTGTTGTTTGGATCAGTGGTGGCAGTGATTGACTGCACCGGTAGGACAGTCATGGGCTCTACAAGTCTATCATCAGCCGCTGTAGTGTCCATAACAACTGCCGGAACATTAACTTCAATCTCAACGGACGTCTGAAGTACACGAGTGGCCGCCGAGTGGACAGTCAGCCGCTGTTTGTCGAGCGCTTGTTTGGTGTGATATGATTGGGTGCGGGAGTCGTACCAATACTGTCCGCCACCAGCGGGCGAGTGGTCAGACTGTAAGTGTATTCTCATCGCCAGTTTAGTTGCAAACGATAGGCCGCAACCGTTGTGCGCACAGCCGTGCCGTTTGGGTACCGGTGCTGTCAACCGGACACCACTCGTGTCGTACCGGAAGCTAACGCCAGGAGCCGTTGTCTTGTGCATAACCCTCTGGTGTGCGATTAGCTTATATTCAATGGTAAACTGGAGGCCACAGCCGTCGATACGGCAGATATGAGTTGTCGGCAAATCAATGACAGTTTGGCCGGTAGTCGGCAGCGGGTTATCGGCGGACGTGTGACCAGTATTTGTGTTAATACTAATAGTTGTCAATAAATATAAATTAAGTCATGTTTTTAATGAGTTGTGATTTAAACAGTACTTAAGGCACGGGTTGTGGTCTACGAGTGAAGTGTTGAGCAATTGTTGATCACTGAATTGTGTTAGTGTTTGGCCGGTGTTTAGCGCCGGTATTGTGTCTACGATTTCGATATCTGTGTCTGAATCGCTAAATATTGTGAGAAAAATATATAAACAATTAAAACCATGACTTAAAGTAACCTAAAATAACACAACACATACTCATCGCACGTGTTGTCCAGCGATTGGTTGTCGGGACTGGAAGTGGATGTGATTGTCGGCACCATTGGTGGGACAGCCGTAGTGGCCATTGACTGCTGCTGTTGACCGTCATCTGCGGCTGTCGTCGACTGGTCTCTGGCATCGGTTGAGCTAACAATCGGTTCCCGAAGAGTGATGTCTTCGACGGCATGTTTGCGGTGTTTGTGTGCATCCAATAGTGATTGAGTGGCGAAACTTTTGTGACATTCCTTGTAATTACATTTAAAGGGCTTTTGGCGGACGACAAGCGACTCGAGGAGTGACTCATAAGTCGGACAACTGTTTAAAAGACACAAAGAGTTGTGACAATTGAAGACATGGTTTGTCACAATCCATACAAACCTATCACTCGATGACATCCAGAAAAATGTGAAGACAATACTCACGAAAACATCACTACTTGTGTCCACACAAACGTCTAATTCAAGTCCAAATCAATAAATAGTTTGTTATTAATTGCAAACAAAACAACACGTGATTCATATGTTTTGAATGCAAAACTTTTCAGTCGTTCAATAAATAACAACTCATTATTATTGCTGTAAATTAAGTCCCCTTTCAATACAAATCAATAGCAAATGTTAACGTTTATTGTTTACGTAATTTATGACAACAAGTAATACAGTCTATAACCAGATATAATGCACACAAAGAATAAATTGTAAATTACATTAATTTTTAAGCATAATTATTTTAATCACTAATATTATTGATATAATTAAATTAGATTTCTATACAATTGTCGTAATATTTATGCAAAAAAATATTTTTTTGAATTAAATTCTTTAATTTCTATTGAAATTCAAACTCAAAATGAGATCTAATTATAAGTGAATTCCGGGAAAAATAATCGGTTTATAAAATGTTTGTCCAAAGAGTATATATCTTATAGCTATAAGAAATGATACCAATGATAAGTTATCATTGTTATCATTGATAACTAAGATGTTCAGTATGTGCTAAACAGGGTATTCAGTGTTGGTATTTAAGGACCACATTAGAGGGGTTTAGAAACAAGGTCGTAACTTGAAACAACTACAAATATTCTACAATAATTTACAATTATTGTAAAGTACCATAACTTGTGGACCATAAGTATTGCTGTTTTCACTATTAGTTTGTTTGAATGTTTAAATTATTGATTTAATTATAACGATATTGACAAATAATTATTTAAATATATTCAATATTAAAATTATTGTTAAACTTAAATTTTATTAGTGGTATAATTTACAATATTTTAACAACTGTTTTATGAGATCAATGCTTTCGTATATCAGATATACGATTAAAAACATAACATAAAACTGGATTTTCACATATCTTTGTGCGAAAATGCGCCAAATATTGTACTAAATTAACAAGTGTTTAAAAGTTTGTTTTGTTTAAACAAAATGTTTTCAAAATTAATGAGTGTTTCGTTGATTGAAATGAAGAGTAAATTAA